TTTTACACCATTATAATCTATTATTAGTCATAAAGAAAATTGCTTTAGATTTCCTAGCAGTCTTAACTCTGTCTGCCTAGTGGTTCTATTCTTTACCTATCAATTTTAAGTGTAAAAATATGCTTTTGGTATTCTCAGGCAGAAAGGGAAGAAAAAAGGTCTGAGGTCACAGCTGGAGGGGCTGTATTGCATGCAAGTAAGTGTACTTGAAAATTTGTCCAGAGTCCAAACAGTCAACTACAGTCTCATCATGGGGATAAAACCACTAAGGCAGCTGCTGAGTTTCCTGAGGTATCTCCAGTGGTGTAATGAGAAGCCACAAGGAGAACAAATAAAGAATATCTATATCATGAATTATAAAGAGTAAATGTCATGGGAACTTCTGCTTCCTGTATCTGCTAATAAATGAGGAGAGACACATTTGAGATGAAAAGGCCACAAAGGCTTAAGATGGATAATTATTTTTTTTTTTAATAGGCTGTATGAACTGAACTGTGTAACCTTCTGCCTTATGACACTACTAAGGGAAATGCAGCTGCCAGAAGTTCATATGCTTTTGAACAACTCTGTTATAGAAACTATGATAGTATATATGACATTTTGTTACTAAGAATAAATGTGTTTTGTTCTATAAGCCGTTGATTTTCAGAGTCCTGTAAAACATGGCATTGAAAAATGCTGGGACTTGTACTCTATTAAAAATACGATTTTACATGAAAATGGAAATATATTTGCAATTTTTGTTGTCATTCTCTGACTCTTCTGATACAAATCACTCAACAAACAAAGGACTTGGTCATAGTGACCCCAACCTATCCCTCTCTCCCAAGCAGGAACAACTATGCATATTAGTTTTGAAGGGACTACTATCTTCTCCTAATCCAGCATTTTTTGTGCTTCATTTTCTCAAGTCACAGCAGAAAACATGGCAAAAGAAGGAAACTGCAATAGCTGGCTGTGGGCTCTATAGTATCCTCCCAGTCACATTATCATGACGTTAAAGTCTTACAACTATAACAAATATTGATGACGTGGGACATACTCATACATTTATAGATGGTTTCTGTGGGAGATACCATGTCTTTCCTCTACCTTTTTTTACTTATATCAGTGCAAGGCTTTTAAAATGAGAACTTCCCCACCCAAACTGGAGTCTCCTGCTGCAAAGGAAGGTAAGCACACAGCTTGCTAGTACACTGCCACAGCAGTTTGCTGACCAGAGAAGAAAAAGGAATGTCTGAGATACCAGCACTGGTTTGGAGGGTCATGAGTTTGCTGTAGTTTCTGGCAGACACATTTGCCCTTTTTCCTCTCCTTCCCCACACCAGGTCCTTTTTGTTCACAGCCTCTCCAGCCTGTCTTCTCAGCATCTTATTTTGGTTCTAGGGTGTTAGTCTCCAACCTTATCAGGCACCTGTTATCAATTCCCTGTTCTGTCTCCTTTGTTTGTCAGAGTCTCGTCTCTCTTTAATCTTCCTGGTTTACCTCCCTAAGTGCCTGACAGTGCAGGATGGATGCAGGTGCTCAGGGCCCCACTCCTCTGCCCAGGCTCCAGGTGGGGGATGCTCTGTTCAGGAGGATACTCCTTCAACTCAGTGAATCTTGAGATGTGTCACTGTCCATTTCAAGTAGAAATTTTTTTAGAGACTTGTGACATCACAGGACTCAGATGGCATTTCATAGACATGGCAAAAATTATAAGCTTGGCTATCACAGTCCAAATCTTCTTTCCCCCACCCCGATTAGCAAAGCCCTATACTCATATGCAGCTTTTTTTCTGAGGAAGGACTGAACCTTTTTTGTTGATATGAAAAAACTGAAGCCTGAAACAGACACCTGTTGTGGATAATTTCCAGCTAATCCAGTTTAAGTTTCATAGAATTATTTTTATAAGTGCTAACCTGTTCCTTCCTTGTAATTAAGCTGTACCCCCTGTGTCCATACACATTTATTCATATCCTGCAGTCATGCATCCAGTATACTGATCCTGTCCTGGAAATGCACACCCTGACTCCTTTTACAACCAACCATATTCTTCCTAATTGAAAAAAAAAGGAGGACTATATGGGAGATCAATCATTCAGACACACAACAGAATAAACACAAACGGTATTCACTGCATTTCTGGGCACTGGCATTACCCACTATATAATTCCACCTATGCTACTCTTTTCTGGATCAGTTGCTTAACAAATTAGTGGTAAATAACTAGCAAGAAATTGAAGAGAATGTAAAAGCATGATATCTGGGAAAAAATACAAGATGACTGTGTGAAGTGCTAAAAAATATGGAATAAAATTTTCAGAATGGCAATTTAAATGACCAAACCAGTCTTCCTTCCCTTAGTTTTCTGTTAATCTAGTGAGGAGTCATTAATGAAGTTCAGATAAAAGAACAAGCTGGGTTAACACATTTGTCATCCAATATTTCATACTCTTTTCAAGAAGCACTCTCTAGTTAGTGTGGAAATTTTTAGCAAATTCTAATTTAATTCTTTTCTAAAACATTCCAGTATTTTTTACAAGGTTCCCTCCCCTACAGAAATGCCCTCTGGAGGACAAGCCATCAGTGGAGATCTCCTTATAAAGGATTCCCCAAATCATCCTGTGGGAAGAGAATGCTATTTGAAATAAATTGCAAAATAAACTCTTTTTATCGATTCAACAGGCTTCCAGAGAACAAAGGGTCCATACCACCCCGTGGCAATTCTGGATCACTTGAAACTTCTCTGCCAGGTGTCTCTGCTACACAGGTCATGCTCTTACAAGGATGGCTCACATTCAGGATTCATCATTTTCTATGACAGCAGACCAAAAGAACTCAGCCAAGGCCACTGTTGTCCTTGGAACCAAAAATATCTAAGAAGAGACAGTGCTTTCTCCATTCTGCTCCCCTCTCCTTTCTAAGCCACCACCTTCCTCTCTCTGATGCCAAAGCAGCATTGTAGTGTGGTCCAGCAGAACATTTTTTCCTGTGTTTTGGGTTGTCTTTTTTTTTTGTAGTCCACAAGACAGCCTAATGAAGGGAGGCCCACATGAAAGGAAAACCAATAGACTAAAATAATGAGTCTGGCTCAGAAGGACAAGAAACATTTTTACACATCATAGCCAGTTTGCTAGCCTTTGTGCAGTACTCCAAGTTGTGATATATGATTTATTAATTTGTTTTCCTATTTATTTGCATTTCATATTACAAGACAAATTTTTTAAAAAGTGACAGAACACTGATTTATTTCACAAAGGATTTTCAGAAGACTTAATAAGCACTTATTTTGTGCAGAAATACAAACATTGTGTCATTAAACAACATTGCTTCTGGAAGAGAAAATGCTGCAAACTCTTAGCCCTAAGATAGCCAGGCACGCACATCTTAAAAGACTCTGTCTTGAACCAAGTTCTTCTATTAGCCTGCACTGAACTGCACTCAGAATCACGCTAACTGAAGATCATTTTTAAGAGGCTTTGAAGGTTTGGACATGATCTGCATGTTTCATATTTTACAGGCGGCATCTCTGAGAGCCTGAAGGATGTAGCTCTTGGGAAGGCTCAGTGTAAGGCCGCCCTCTCACGGCAAGCATTCCCTACAGCTAGTGCAGGACAGGCTGCACGCATGGTCCCCAAGGTAGAAGAAACATGTCAGAGTTGGTCTCTTATATTGAACAGGATGTAGACATCAGCATATGCAACCTTGACCTTTCAAATTGCAAGTTGGAAACAGTTGTTACACTCTGACTTCTCTGCCAAAATGACAAAAGCATCATTTCCTCATCATCTACACATTGCACTGGAGTTTTGCTGCACTTTGTTACTGCGCTCGGCAGAATTTGGCACTAGGACTGGATTCTCTGTCCTTCCTTCTGTATATTGGGGTCTTGTAAACTCTGGCCTCACTGAAGGGCTGTGATAAACATCTTAATAGCCTCATGTCTGTCATGGTTTGAAACTGCTCTCTAGGGCACCGCAACAGAAGAGTGTAGAGCAGTGTCTCACCTGCTCTCATATGACCCTTTTTCCTTTCCATTCCCACCTTACCCTGCTCATATCTATCAGGGAGAGCTAATACAGAATCACTCTTTTAGCTCTACACAAGGTAAGAGAAAACAGCACAACCCAGTGCTGCTGGACCAGTATAAAGTAGTTTGCAGTTCAGAGTGGAACTTTCATCTTCAACTGCATGTTACCCAATGATGCGATTCTCAGGCATGCCTGACAAAAACTATACAAATTCAAAAACCACCACTCTGAGTTAGGATTTAAGCCCTAGAACTCTGAATACATCTCAATATCAGTTTGAAACAGTAGCAGATAGATACGTCACAGCTGCTTTGTGGTTTGCTGCACAGAAAGCGTGTTACAGAGAGGAATGGACAGTAGTTGTATCTGCAACTTCAGGAAAGGAATAAAAATAAATAAATAACCATAATTTTTCATAAAGACACCAAGTAGTCAATTGTTAAGGCACAAAAAGTACTTCAAAACTAGCTTTAGGGCACCATAATTAATGTCTGAATGAGGTAGGAATTGTTATAATAATCATAGAATTCTCGTACTATCATTTAACGTACAATACCAGTTTTGAAATTCTGCGCGTGTTTGAGTTGCCTGCCATTTTGAAGCTTCATACTTACAAAGAAGCTACACTGACAGCATCTAGCCCATTAATGAAGTTTTATCCTTATTAATCCCTCCTACAAAGTCAGACAAGCTATTCAAATGGCAATTTGTGTACTTCTATTTGTTGCTGCAAAGCAGAGTGGGTTGGCAACTACAGAGTCAGAATTCCAGGATTTTTCCATCCCTGTTGCATGTGGCTGAGTATGGAAAAAGAAACAGAGTTGATAGTACTTACATGTATGACAATTTGGATATTAATTTTACAGTAGGAATTATTTCCTTTCCATTGTATTACCATCCTACTTTGCTGCTGGATGACATTTTGTCTTTATGCAGTAGATGTTCTGGTAGTAGGTGAAATAAGTGTAGTTAAAGAAGGTGGCTTACCTTGTGTTGTCCCGTCTAGTCCCATGAGACATTTCATTGCCCTGATGATTTGCTCTGCTACGGGTGGACACATAGATGTGGCGTACACAGCACTGTGAGAATGAGTTCGTAAAAAGTCCACAAGGTCCTTACACAAGCAAAACAAAGCATGAATGAGCTTTGAGCTGGCCAAACAGCAGATCTCCCTCTTAACTACTGCAGGAGTAAGAACATGCAAAAGGAAGAGGACATTTCACCAGTTATTGGTTTGCTTTCTTGGCTGCTACTGCTAATGCATGGCCTGAAGAAACATCAGGCAGCTGCAAACACTTTACCATATAAATATGGCAATTACAGCTGAAACAAAGGTCGGGAATAGAACAATGTTTACTTCAACACTAAGACTAAAGGAGCCAAATAAAGGACCCCAAATCATTTAAAGACCAATGAACAGCTGCACTTAAAATACTGCTCAGTTCATCTCTGGGAATGAAGCAAAGCCTACATGACATCAGTGCAGTTTCTCTGCCACAAGATGTAACCCAGGAAAAGCAATCTTACTCGGATCTGTCTTTGGCTATTAGCACATAAATTTCTTTTGATTGAAATTTCCCATCAGTGTGGCAGGGACAGTCGTATTAGAGTCAACATCATCGATATATTGCTTTAACATCCTTGTATAGCTAAGAGCACAACCTGTGCTCCTAGAAAAAGCCTTGCTGTACTGTAGGCACGTTCAAAGCACCAGTAAGCCTACTGAATCCAGGGACACTGCAGGAATTCAGTGCTTGATTAAGACCATAGTTATTATGACAGCTTATACTTCCTTGTGCAAAATATCAGAGTAACAGTTACCACACTAAAAGCTGAATGCATGATAGTGAGAAAGGGATGAGGCCTGCTTGAAAACTGCCTTTGATAAAAAAAGTCATCAGAAAAAAACTCAAAGACAGTAACACAAATTATTGCCAAAAAAGCTGTATGAGTCTATGCAGTAACTTCAATGCCGAGGATAAAGATTTATCTAACCTTATATAAGTGTATACACACCCAGAGTGTTGGGTGAGCAGCTGCCACCAAGGCCCAGAAACCTGAAGCAAAGCTTAGTGTTACACACAGGCATGAAAAGAATGACCCACTCTGAGAAAACTTCCAAGGATTAGAAGATGAATTACTTTAGACTGCTTTTCACAGGTGCAGGCTTCCTATCATTTTTAGCTAAGCATTAGCCACATCATCTTTGGTAAGAGTTAAAACTTCAGATGCAAATTCAGGAAGCAAAGGAAACAAGGAAAATTGATTCTTGATGTATTATGACAGCCTATTTTAAGATCTCCAGGGGCAAACCAAAAAGACTGTAAGAAATATACACCTTATACTTTCTTATAGTCCTTTTATTCTACTCAAGTGCTACCCTTATTAATGTTATCCTGCCAACAGCCAAATGGGCTGTCTAAGCAGGCTTCCTACTCATTCAGCCAGCTATTTAAGAAATACATTCAACAGGGCATGGAAAGGGTAAATAATCAGCAACCACTTGATATCTCTGTCAAGCAGCAAAACCGATGACATTTCACAATGGTGCTGATTGTGCTTTCTCTTCCTCTACAGCCCCTGTTAAAACGAGCTCAGCACTACTTTTTCTTGACATCTGTCATTGGCAAGAGGTTGTTTTGTTAACGTACGCAGAGCAACTGAGGACACGAATTTTACTATTGCAAAAGGCCCTCAAGTAACCCTCTTTCTCCATCCTGCTAAAAAAATGCAACAATGGCAATCCACAACTGTTTAGGAATTTTAGGAACAGGGGATGAAACTGTGGCTTTAATCTCTCAATATTGCTCCACACACTGTTTACAAATGTGAAACAAAGTATCGAGCAGTCTGCATGCAAATTAACGTAGTGAAGTATATTTAGCCAACCACAACGTGTCTAAACATTTCCAAGACAAACAACAATCATCAGGGTGGCACAGAAATACCCAACCCAAGCAAATTACATAATATGAACATGAGACAAAAATAAGAATGTCTGACTGTTTGATGTACATTTGAGATCCTGACAAAAATGGTATTAACTTTAGAATAGTGCTCCTGAAAGCAGTCTGTGCAAAATATAATGAAATATATTATACATAAGAAGAAGGTGCTTTTCCTCCCCTGATGTTAAAATATTCGTGTTTTCCTTTTACCTTTTTGCCAGCTATGTATCCTCCAGCTGCGCCAAAGCTCTTTGTGAACGTTCCCATTAATACATCAACATCATCAGGACTCATACCGAAGTACTCCACAACTCCTCGGCCCGTTGCTCCCACTGCACCGATGCTGTGAGCTTCATCCAAGTAGAGGTAGGCTTTGTATTTCTTCTTCAAGGAGACTATCTCTGGCAGGCGCACAATGGATCCTTCCATGCTGCGGATGGAGAGAATCATGGATGAACAACAAATCCTGCACTCTCTCTCTCTTGAAGGTACTGCCAGAAAAGATGGGCATTAATTGCCTTACTTCATGAAAGATCTTCTGGAACCTCAATTTGTATTTACAGTTCAAAGAAAAATTGCAACCCTTTCCCATCTGCAGGTGAGTGTAAAACAGTCAAATAGTTTTAGAATTCAAACAACCAAAAGCATTCAAAAAATCTTTGAACATTCGCAGATTTTCAGAAAAGAGAAGGAAAGCTAAAGAGGAAGGGGGAGATACTCACCCGAAGCCACACATAACAATTCATTACAAAACAAATATTGTGATTAATTATAATTAACCACTATAATTCAGTCTGGTCCTTGCTTACTTCACCGTCAGCTACTCTAGCAATATTTGGGACTAATAGCTCTAAACCAAATTACTCTGGTGCAGGGGAGTTGGGTCTAACATACACAGGAGATGGGCCACATGAAATGCATAGATGGTGCCAAAACTCTAAGCAGCTTCAGTCTTCAGAACAGGAAGAATCGGAGATTAGGAAAGGCAGCTCAAATCCACTCTTGCCAATTGTGGCTCCCAATACATACTTTTTAGGAAATGTGGCCTGCTACCTAGTACTCAAAAGGAAAAAAAAGTTTCCATTCTTTTTCTTTTTACTTTCTTAGAGCCATGCAGGAAAAAGAAATATTCTGAACTTGCACTAACGGTGTATTGAAATTTACAGAGACAAGAAAAGATGATAAATCATTTGTATTGGTGGTAATCATGTCAGTAACTTAGAAGGCACAGAGTAGGTGGTCAGCTAAATGAAAGCCCAGGGAGATAAGAAATGCACTCTAATCCCATAAAGATGTATCAACAGTATTGCTGTGAAGACTACTATGTCTTGAAAACCTTTGTGAGAGGACTGCAGCTATGCCTGGATATGCTCTGATGCACTCAGTATTCATTTTATGAGTTAAACACGTTCTTTTGCACTAGGTCTAGTGAGCAGATCTTTAAATGCTAAATATTTCCTATCAAACACAAAGGGGGTGTGCTGTGTGCCAGCAAAACCAGTGCTCCGTGGCTAAGGCTCGCAGCTAAGGTGCATCTGATTGCAAGTGCTACAAGTTTCACGTAAGCAGAAGTTAAGTTTGTTCCCACATATAGCACACACAAAGAGCAGTGCGCCTGACACAACTTCTTGGCAATTTTTAGATCCTGGACCAGTGGCTTTCACAGATTGTTTTATTGCCACTCTAGCTGCACCATGCAGCTGGAAGACTGGTACCACAAAAGGAGCAGGATGTGCTTTTAGCACTTGCGAAATTTCTATCAATTTTAGTCCTTCTTCATCCTTTGGTCTCCTGAGTAAGCTTGGAAACAGCTCGGTCTCCAGTTTTGACAGAGACCTGCCCATAGGCAAGTCTCCATTAGTTTGAAAGAACAGCACGGGGGAGCAGCCACGGACAAGGCTTGTCTGTGCTGTTCGAACTGGGAGGTTCAGAGAGCCTGGCTGTGTGTGCCTGGAGGCATATTTCTGGCTGTCGGTGACTGCTGACAAACCTTGCCCTTCTGTCTTGCCCAGCCACAGACGAGGCAGCTGTGAGGATGTATATTGGCACCAGTCTCTTGCAGCAAAGAAGGGTGGGCTTGTACTGCAAGCTCCTGGAGACTGGGCTTTCTCACTTTTCCCAAATGGCACTTGGCAGCTGAGGGAAAAACAACTTGAACCACCACAGCTATCTTTGTAACAAATACAAGGGCAGAGCCCACAGCCCTGACATAACTCAGAGTCAAAGCATTAGTCAGCTAAAAATCATACTGGGTGTACTTGGGCATGCAGCATCATATGAGCTGCAGGCGGCAGGTTTTGGCTGCGCCAGGTTGGCCTGTAGGTTGGCTGTATGGGCAGAGAGTGAGAGCGGTGCCAAGGAGAACCTCTGTAGAGGGAAGCAAATAGGCATCTGACATACAAAGACTTAAATTATAAGCCTTAAATTAAAGTTGACTTTTGAGTGAACTTCCCAACCTGCACCATAGCAGCAAGAAATGTGACCGTGAGATTCCTTCCCCAACCTGTAGCACATTAGCATGAAATAAGACCGTAAGACTTTTCCTCCTACAATTCAAAGCCAGGTGCAGAACACCAAAATAGGAGCTTCTCAGACATATCTCAGATCCTGGCCAAATCTGGGATGTGCCCGTGTGAAGTGAAAATTACCCACCAGATGTTAACATGCCTTTCTGTCTGCCTAATTTGTTTGTTAGATTGTATAAAAGCAGGAGCCTCTCACAGCAAAGATGGAGACCTCACCTACAAGTGGACACACTGCGTAGGACTTCCCAATTGGTGGGGAAAGGCTCTCCAAATCCTTTGCTACGGTCTTAAATTGCACCAAGGAAGGTTTAGGTTGGATATTAGTAAAAAATTCTTCACTGAAAGGGTTGTCAAGTATTGGAACAGGCTGCCCAGGGAGGTGGTGGTATCACCATCCCTGGAGGTGTAGATGTGTAGATGTGGTACTTGGGGACATGCTTTAGTAGTGAACTTGGCAATGCTAGGTTTACAGTTGGACTAAATGATTGTAATGGTCTTTTCCAACCAAACTATTCTATGATTCTATGAAAGGGGCTCCCTAGCTGATGTACAGGATCTGGATGATGATAAGTATTTGGGCAATTGGTGATGTATCTTTCTTAATCACTATGCTTTCTCTCATGTTGTAATGACTAGATGAATTATCTTGTTTAGCTCTGTACTTTGCTTCTTTCTTTTTTCCCTGTTTTAAACTGGAGTAAAATAAGTTTGTTTCTGGTGTTAAGGTGGTGTCTGTGTCCATTTTGCTATCCCAGTTAATTGTCAAAACAGCATCCCACCCTCCACTTTCCAGCAATACTTGAGCAGACCAGCTAGGCAGAGGACAATAATAGTTTTTCCACTTTTAATATGGACATCATTAGTCTTAGTGGCTCATGGAGATTCAGATGTTAGAGATAGCATTTATCTTCAAAAAGACAAAAGAAGAAATGGTGACTTAAAAATACAGAACTTGATTTGCTGTGTATCTGTGGAATGGAAGTGAAGTTGTTGCTGAATCCAAGATTGCATAGAGGAGGTACATGGCTGTTGCAAGATTTAACCATTAAAAGGATTTAATGAAAACTTTTCTTACTTGTATGAGCAGGAAATTTCTCTGAACTCTAAGCTGTTTAGTAAAACAAAGCACTTCTATTCATTTTCAGTGTTGATTTACTGCTCTTGAAAGATGCTGGCTGACATAAATGTTACAATAGTTGACAGAGATCCTAACACGGCCTTAAAGTGTCCGTGGAGTAGATAAAGTGTTGGTGGTTTCGTGTGCTGCCATTTACACAGGCCTCAGCCCTCCTGACAGCAGAGATGAGAGCTGTTTTGCTGCCTACTCTGTTCTTGGTCTCTCTTTTGACCCTGGGAGATGGTTTGTGATATGAACGTTGCTCTGTTTAGAATTGCTCCAAGATAAGGTACAATTCACATAACCCCTTGGGTAGCCCAAATGGAAAGTTTACTGAATCCTTCAATAAATATTGATGTTGACTGATTTTAAATGAGAGAGCCAGAAGTGTACTGTAATCATTCTGTCTCAGCCTGGTTGTATCACTTTTACAAAGCTATTGATCTGTTTCCAGATCTGCTCAAGCACATAGGGCACATCAAAAAAGCTGGATGCAGACAAACATAAGCTGGTTCTGCGCAGCCCAGATGTTCTTGTTACATGGTATTACATCCTGTCTTGTGGCAAAAAAATTATTAGCTTGGTGGCAGGGATGTAAAACTTCTAGATCGTAGCTGATCCTCATCTCCCTTGTTCAGTGAGTAGGCACAAAAGCTTGCTTCAGTACACACTCAGTTTGAATCTACTTCCAGGTGTGAGGAGATAATCCAAAATTACAGAATCACAGAATCACAGA